TTCAGTGCAATTGCACTTCTTTGAATGAAAAGAACATCATGAGTACATCATAGCTGATTTGAGTTTGCCCTTTATAGAGTTCAGGTAAGAAATTAAGGCAACTGTTCACATTTCCCTGTTAGTATTGATTTCAAATATCCGCTACACATCATTCACATAACATTCAGTGAATAAAACTTGAAATAAAAGTTTATTGTGAGCAAACGGCGAACATAATCACTTCCATTCAACTTCATCATTAGAGTTGATCAGTTTTGGAAGAACGCAATAGGACTCAAATTTGATAAGGCTTAAAACATATTCAGTGATTCATTTCGTCACCTTTCGCTAATGAAAATCATCATCTAGATGATTCTTTCGAATGCAGCATAAATTTGATGTGCTTAAAATGGGGTGTGAATCTGCAAAAAGTTTACTCAAAGCATTTGCTAGTCTTGCTAAGCTTATTGATAGCTACCAGTAAGTAGTGGATGAATTCTATTTGGGTGAATGTTAATCGTAAGCCATTTATCAGCGAGTTCACCCAAAATCAGCGAATCTGTTACAGGCACCAGTACAGATATCACGACACCACAGATGTAGCACAGGTATGATAGCGTTGTCGCTTGACGGTGGCGGTGTTCGAGGTTTGGTGTCGCTCGTGTGTTTGTTGTTCACTTCGAGACGTGTTTTCGGTGATGAGTATTTGCCCAATTTAGTGGACTGGATAATAGGTACCAGGTACTTGTATAACTCAACAATTCTCATTCTCTTAGCACTCATCGTCAGCATTTTCATGAGGATTTGCATTCATCAGCGATCACGATCAGTCCAATCGGTCGGGTTGTTAACAGTTTTAAAAGAATCTGACCGGAAACAATCCAATCGATCTGTCGAAGAACAGAATTTAAAAATTATTGGAGATGCTCACTCTGTAACTCGTTCAACTAATTGCAGTGCGGGTTCAATGTTAGGCCTATTGCTGGCAAAAGGTGTGACATTAACGGAGGCATTCTTTCTCTACTGGGATATGAAAAACGAGGTTTTTCTTGACGGTTCAACAATGAAGCGTTTATTCGGTCATACGGTTGATTATCAATCACGAAATATGGACAACTGCCTTAAGAGGTGTTTTCCGGACGACTGTACCTTCTTCAGGTTAGCATTTTCACACATCTCTCGCCGTCGGCTATGAACTACACGGTCGGCCAGAGTAATTCTGTCAAAGCCAATGATAATAGTTGCGAAATCCACGATTTCTTTGACCACTTTCCGTTTTCGATCAATATATTCGCCGCATGAAATGAAAGTCCACCACATATGCATACCTAAAAAACTCGAAGCTCAGATATTGCTTTATTGGTCGTTCTCGAATCACTTACAGTCTTCAGTAATTGCTCGAATTGACTGCTGCTGCTTTCGATGCATTCGAATTGAAGCATTCAGCAGTTGCAATAGGATTACGACCACAACCCTAGAATTTGAGAGATTAACAACAAAGTTGAGCTGTGATTAGGGAACCTACGTAGTTTCTTTTCAACAAACTATTGTATGTGAATACGTATATGTGGGTAAATTTCAGTTCATTTTCATTCTTGAAATTGTATGTTTCTTAAAGATTTTCAATTTGTCGTTAATGAATGAGCGCAGTTCGATGCATGATGCGCATTACAGTTGTGCAAAGCGATTGACCGTACCGGCACTTGACATCACAACAACACCAGCCAAATTGCATGTGTTCAGGAACTACAGCGTCAATTCTGAAATCTCCAGATCACCAGTGGACGATGCACTCTTCCGTGATGCAGCACGGGCGAGCGGGTGAGTGTGTTGCTTTACATGCCGTAACTATTGCATGCCTCGGCTATCATGAAATGTCTCCTAACGTTGTATCGCATTTTGTGTTCAGTTCGGTTGGAACTGTCGCATTCTGATTGCAAGGGAGAAATGATTGTTTCCATTTTGCACGAAAACGCTCCCGATGATGATGGTAATCGATGAACGCTTCTCATTATTTCTTGCCTATGACACGAATCGTTTCAGAGCAGCACCAACCTATTTCAATCCACATACAGTGAATGGTCGAGTTCTTGTCGATGGCTCGTTTGTTGCGAATTGTCCGCTTAATTTACTGTTCAAGGTGAGTGAGGGCATTCCTTTGAGGAACTGCTGAAAGCGATTGTTATTCCAAGCAATATTGCATTCGGCAAAACGAACCGTCTGGTTTGAGGGTTTCGAAATCAATCACAATATCCGTGTTTGCAAAAGAAATTCCAATATTCATGTGTTGCAATTGGTCGCACTCAAAGATTACTCGTCATTTCATATAAAATTCCACTGAATGGGACCGTAAATTGAACGCTAGAAATTGCTTACTTTCACAATACTTTTTTGATCGTCAATATTATCAGAATGAGCATTTCAAATGTTCTGGTAATGTCTCCGTAAAACACTTGGCCTGACTTGATCATTGTGTTTGCTGAGGATTCCAGGAAGTTGATCAGTGCAATAGGAATGGATCAACAATATCGCTAGCTGCAATTATATCCATAGGTACTGGTGAACCTTGCGCTACTCAGCGTAAATTGACTTGTGGTAAGAACCTGAAATCAAAGGGTAAAAACATTCTCCATCTCAGTTCGTTACTTCTTGAACAGGTTTGTTATCGTTCGTTCAGGTTTTTTATCTACTGCAAGACATCTGAAGCATTCTTCGTATGAAACAGAACTTGAAACGTGTTTTAATGTATAAAGTGTTTGCGTTGACCAGTAATCTTAGCACATCGTTTAGACAGCTGCATACTTTCATGTGAAATTTTTTAAGTCTGTTGGTTACGAACAATCAGGATTGGAATCTGCAAAAGAACGTTGCCTCGCACAAAATATTCCACTGATTCGACTCAATCCCAAAGGTGTGAGCGTAAGGATCGATCAGACTGATGATGGCAAATTGATGGATATGATTTGGATAACACTCAAATACCTGGCAGATAATACGCGTGAAATTGATAAACTTGGCGAAATTTTGTTCCGTTTATTCGGTGATCATAGCGATTTACGTATGCGTAGTAATACGATATTATAGAGCATTTATTTAGTCTCGAAATGAATCCACGTTTTGCTATATGTCGAAAGTATGGCTTAGATTCGCCGCTAGAGATCGTGTTGCTTTACCTTTGGAGCAGCAAAAATTGTTATATCAAAGATCCCTTCAGGATTTTTCATCTCATTTTTTCATTCTTGCTCAATGGGTAATCAGTTTGGTGATTGAAAAAATGTCACGTCAATCGCTTCAAATCTTTTCAACTGAGTACATAAATTATTTGTGATATGTGATATATTTTTTATTCACTCTTTGTATCTCCATTATTCCAGTTAATATATAATGCTTCTGAAGAGAAGTGCAGTTCTCGAAGATGAATTGCGTACATTTCATTTTGATTCTTTCATCGTTTCCACGAGAATTTTCTCTCAATATGGATTTTATTTCTCCGAATCCAGAAACGATTGCGTAGGAAAGATGAAAGCGTTTTCTAGAATTGCATAATGTTTTTCTAGTGACAGTGCTTTACGACGGTTAAACGTTATGTTTGCGAGCTAATTAAAGCATACGACCAATTCAGTTTCAATTGTACGATTGATTTATTGAAATATTCAGTTAACGGATTAATTTTCAAAACTCATAAATCATATACATAATAGTTGAAGTTTTAGAGCATCACATACATACATACAAATATTTACACATAAGCAATCAATTCAATTCGGATTATATGAAGCGATTGCAATTCACTGAATTCAATCACTTGAAAAATGATGTTGATAAATATCACAGAAAGGATGAAAAATGAACTGAGAAGAATGAGCTTTACGAATGATTGCAACACACAATATCAACATTTATCAATACCAAATAGTACATCCCTGTAATCGCTTCCTTACATTGCTTACTCATTAACTTTCGTGAATTTCGGTAAGAACCCTAAACTTTTCAAATGGAACTTTTACGAAGGGCTACTTGATTTCTTCGTTGCTTTCAAGCTTGCCTCCTGTTGAATGCAACTCATTTGATAATTAGTTCATTGATATGTAGCAAATTGATGTATTATGCTGAGTGATCGTAATTCCTCAGTAGCCATAAGAGTTTGCGACGTGAAAAATTTCGTCAACTCGATTTTAAAGAATGGCAAGCAAGCAGACTATATGTATGTATCTTTAAAATGTTGCAATCATCCTTAGAAACGTATGAAACATTAGCACGAGAACCCGTAATCATTAACAAACATAGCAACAAACTGTAACAAGATAAAGCTTATTTTGGGAGCCATAATGTTTTGGTCAAACCATTCGCATTAGACTGCGTAATATCCCTTTGGAGTCATACCAGTTCAATGAAGCATCAACTGCTAAGAATTCTTCAGGAAGAGGTTGTAGGAACCTGCGATATGATCCGCAATTCTCTTTTCACTAGATGTTTAGCTGTTTTGATTCCAATTTCCCAGGAACATTCACATATTCCTCATGGCTCCCGAGATTTTCGTAAGAATGCTGCTGATGACCTCGTCATTCAATCACAACCTGCGAAGCATTACGACCAGAAGAATAATAATTGCTGTTGATGGTCGCAGTCGATGTGAAGATGAGAAAGGCATTGAATTATCTGAAAGTAGAATCTTTGATTAAATCTTTTGAAACCTCATCCCGTTTTCATCGTCACCATATTATTTCATATCTTTTTATTCGAAAAAAAACTTTTTAGGTTTCCGCATATTGAGACTTCATTGCCATTCGATTCATTTTGATCGAAGCAATGGTAATTTTCAATCAAAATTTTAATTCATAATTGTGATTTTTCGGTTTGTGGCGATAAGCGCTCATATGATAATGTAATCTTTCTGGGGCTGAATTTTTTGAAACGAAATGAAATGAAATGAAAAGGAATCGCAATCTTGCAGTCACATTTCATCGTAAGATCCAACACCACACAATAACAAGCAGAATAAGATCAAACTTGTTAGATCAAGTGAAACTTACAGTCATCAATTTCATGAATTTCGAACAACTTGAAGTTCGGATCGATCCGTAACGCTTCACTGACAGCACTGTCATCTCGCTCATACTCTAATCCCTTATGATAATCGTCTATCGTATTATCGAGCGAGAGCGCCTCAGCGATTTGATTCGACGATGACGATACTGACGATGGGTGCGGTTGCCATTTACTTGACGAGTAGTCATTCATCGAGTTCCACGATGACGAAGCGGATTCTTTCGAATTGAGTTTATTCAAGAATTCATCCCAATATCGCGGCGGAGGTGTTTGCGTTGTTTGGACGGTCGAATCGATCGTTCGTGAACGCATTGTGTTGTGTGCTCGATGGTGACCGTGATGCCGAATACCGTGAACTGCATCTGAAAGTAAACGCTTCATTAGGCAAATATTCATTTGTGATCGTTTTCATTATACTTCTAGTGTGTTGCACTGAAAACGATGCTAGAGTACACTTTCTTAGGCATTTGTCATTAAAACTGAATGGAATTGTTGTTAGGTGTTAGAGGTTTGTATGTATCAATTACCTTTCGAGGACGTTGCATGAATGTGAACACGAAGACGCAATTGTTTGGACAAGCAAAGACCACCAGCTGTTAGACCAATTCCTTTTGCCGTACCATCGGATGTGGCTGCAAATAAGATACATGGAAAACATTAATCATAGTTGACAGGTCTAGTTGACCAAATCGTAGTCTGAATGATTTGCGATTGCTATTTGAGAATCCATTTTATGGGCACGTTAACGGTAGACGGGTGCAGAATTTGGTGTGAGATAGAAAGTTTTACTTACAAACAAAATAATAGGTGTTGCCGGGTGAGTATTCAAGACCAGACGGTAATGGAGTGAACTGTCGGAAAACAGTGCGGATTGTTAACGGTAGATATGGGTCAGCACAACGTCCAACCACCTTGGCCGTCTCATCAAGAACACAATTTTCATAGCCGAACTGTGACACCTGAAAGTATTTTCAAGAACATTATTGCATCGGTCTTTCAAGCAGCATCCACTAAGGTGATATCCATCCAACGTGGTCTTTGCTTTCATTGATTTCTATCGTACTCATCATATTGCTCTCAAAAGTCGCTCCAACCAATTTTTAATATCTTTCGTAATTACAACGAGCAAACCGAAGATAATATTCGGAAAGGATTGCTTTTCGTTTCTGAAGGGTTATTTGCTTGGAACGATGCAGAAAATAGCTACATAGAACCTAAGCCTTCTTCGCATTGAAATCGAAAACGAAACCGACCCTGTAGATGATCATTTGCTCTGTTTGATCAACAGGCGTGTGATCGTCGAAAGTCGGGCAATGAATAACAAGTGAGTCCATCTTTTCGGCATCGATATCAGCCGGATCGTGCAGCGTATCTCGAAACCTGAAATTATTTCGTCATTGAGTGCTCTCAAATAAATAACTTATTGCTGATAACTTTCAAAATTCACCGAATAATTTTAATCGTGAAACATGTTTGTCAAAGTAAATCACAATCTCATGAACCATTTGAAATGTTGAGATTAAAAGACGATGACTGATTAACAATAAGTACAATATGAACAACTGAACACATAGTCAGATATGCATAAGATTATGCATACATTACGTATTGTTGATCAAGATATCCAACGTAAATATTAAATATTTCGGTGCTACTGTAATATCAAATGAGTTAGATCAAGAAAATGTTACTGTTGTCAAAGATGCGATCCGAAACATGAGCATTCAAGACTAAACTTCCATCACATTTTCATCACAAGATCATTAAGATTGGTCAACTTGAGAAAAGTCATTAGCCGATGCGCTTAATTGATTAATGAATCCGCAATGAGCGTAAGTGCCCCCTCACTGAACGAGTCAACTAGCCGTAGAGCATTTGCTCATACATGCTCTTAAATTATGCTGATTGATTTACGATGCGCTCATTTGAATTAATGAAGATCATCGAAGAAAATGAGCATCAAAATTTTCATCGCAAACAGTCAAATAGATGGATTAACATCATTGCATCACCGAACGAATCAAATTTCATCGCAGAAAAAGACAGCCATTGAAGTCTTGCCCTTTCGGCTTTTCGTCTAATACGTCGCCCACCAGATGACCAT